TGGGAGAAATAGCCTTTATAGTAAAGTTTTATATTGTAGATGATCGCACGTATTCAAAATTCGCATTGTAGTCCCGTGGTTTGAGGTGGCCATGATGGAATGGTTCTAGTTATTTATCACTAAAAATGATGGCATACCAGATGTGCTAAATATGACTCATAACATGCACACTAAGGGGAGAGTAAGCTTTGCATGAATATATTTGATTATAACTTAGACGTCAAATACTCGAGTAGCAAAAACAGTCTTTCCACCTCCAAGAGAAAGGTTAATTCTCCAAGCTCCGCAATAATAAGAGACTCATAGGGATTATTTAATGAGCTATTATTGAACGATTACACCGCGTCTCAATGTTAAGGTGGTGTAACCGTGAATATTTTTTCTCCCAAAACCGGGGAGGAGGTTTTTTTTGTTGGGTGGGTGGGGGGCGGACCCATCAAAATTAGAAATTTAAAACGACCATGTAGTTAATGCTATGTATTTATTAAAACCAAGTCATATTATTGTAACGTCAAACCTGACTGCTTCCCCTTTGTGGGTCAAAACTGCCCACCCTCACGCATCAATTCCTCTCCATGTTTTTCTATTTGATTCGAGGGTCTAGAATGAAGAAATTCAATAAAGATAATGAGATTTGAAAAAGAAAAAGCCAATATTAGGTAAGGTTTAAATTAGTATTTTAGGTCATTATGATAGCTCACTATTGTTGATATTTAAATTTAATTTATTAATATAATTTGTTGACCTAATTATTTATAATCGTTAGATTAATAACGACTCCCGATATTTATTAAGACCTATAACCAATTCAATAATTGTGATAGATTACGTCAACAAATTATATTAATAAATTAAGTTTAAATAATTACAATAATTAAATTTATCTAAGTCATTAGCCTTTACCAAGAGTGCGATTACTTCACCAATAATGATGGATTCATGTCATGGCACAAGGGTGGTCATGGCTCCCCCCAAATTTTTAAAATTATATTTTTCACTCTCGAATTTTTTTTTAATCCCTCGAGGATTGGTTTTAATATAAAATATTATACTATTAACCATTTAAAATAATCTGGTGGTTATAGCTGTAGCCCCACTTTTTTTGTATGCTTTTGAGAAGGCCAACCAAACATTAGGTGACGTTTAAATTAATATGTCGTTATGATATTTGAGTTATACTTTGGAGGGACAGAGTATTCAAAAGCATCAATGTATTAGTTTAGGATAGTTTTTCTTTATTATTTACGAGTCCCCTTCCAGCTACATGAATGGGATCTCCAGGGTGGATTAGTTGGTCCAATCTTTTTCGTCAAAATTCCACTAAACAGAAGATGTCAAAGTTAACTTTCACACTCTTCCATGGAATTAGCTTTCAGTTTGTTTTTATCTTAAATGTTAATGAGTATAGAAGGCCCCACAATCTTAATAACATCCTCGTTATAGTTTGGACTTTACTTTCCTCGACAAACTCACAAAGAGAACTTTAACCCGTGACCTCCATCATGGTAAATAACCCCGTGTTATACCTTTTAGACTAGCTAGTCCCATGGTTCAAGTTTAGGTCCATGTAACTTAAGACTTTGAACCAAGCAGAAAGAAAAGTCTTTTGGAGAACGTTTTTATCGCGTTAAAGCCAAGAGAGAAGATTTTAAACCCGTTATGGTCTGAGTTTTTACTCACGTCGTCCGTCCCAGGGATTCCATTATGCTGCTCGCCCTATTACCCGGTGATAACTGTGGTAATTCATTAATTTAAGCTATCTCCAGGTTATATATTGTGCGACGAAACTTGCTAATTCAATATAGGTGATTTACTATGAACAAAAATCTAGAAAAAGTGTATGAGAAGATTTCATCAAAATGGTAAATGAATTTAAAAATTAAGCTTAAAAAATAGACCTGATAATCACAACTATTGAATAAGTAGTGGGTCCCCATAAATATTGAGACCCACAATGAAATCAATAGTTATAATTATCCAATCTATTTTTTAAATCTAATTTTTAAATCTACGTAACATTACTCGTAGTAGATACGACAAGGCCAATATCATTATGATCAAATCTTTGTAAGTCTCTGAGTACAAAATCCACGCTATGTCGGCCAAAATATGGTGGTTTTTGATTCAAATCCTGCAACCAGGAGCTATACATGCTTGTCTGAATATGGACACAGTACCATTGTTCTACTCCAAATGCCAAATAATTCAAGGAAGACATGAGTTTAGTTGGACTAAATTTACTGTTCAGAGTCCACAGTATATAATAAGACTTTAGTTTCGGTCTCGACATAAGTACGATAGAGTCTTTGATAAATAATTTTGTTGTATTAAGGGACAACTATAGCATATAATGAAACCTTAGTTTCGGCCCCGATATAAGTACGGTGGGGTCTTCACTAAATAATTTTGTTGTGCTAAGAAAAAATACTCTTTTACGGATATGTAAAATGACATATTTATATATTTATTTTGTGTAAAAAAAAAAAAAGTTGACAACATGGCCTATCACCGTCCAACTCGGGCAGCAACCCGGCCATAAAATGGAGGAATGATTGTCATCGAGCTTACGTCCATCATGCAAGTTTGTCATTGGAGATATTAAAGTGAGAATGTTAGACAAATAAGTGAAGCCAACATCGTTATCTGAAATAAGTGTAATTAATTAATTATAATTGAAAAGCCAAATATAACGGTCTCATAAAGCGCGTGGGGCTAGCATTCGTAGCAGAACCACTAGTAGCTTCATAGAACTCGCGAGCAACGTGCTTGCCTGGTCAACACTGCCGTCCCTTGCGCAACCCCTTTAGGGTCGCCGGCCAAAACTCACGCAAACAAAACGTTTTTGACATTTCTTTTTAACTCAACTGACCCCCTTAACATCCAAAATTGAAAAGAGTCCCCCCCCC